TTTTTAAAAAAAGCAAGAAGGTACATATGCACCGGATGATTGCGTTCCGATAAGGTCAGCTTCAACCTAGATTGGGTCAATACGTTGAAACAATTAGTGATGTTTAAGGGGAGATCATTCAGACAGGTTTATTGAGACGCAATCGGTCAGATTCAGAATATTCAGGTAACGAAAATTACCCGGACAAGTACTAGCGAATATACAATGTCTTTATAAACGAATCAGTAGAATCAATTGATATGTCTCAGTAATCAACCCTACATATTTGTCGATTTAACCATGCTCAAAACATATTAATCACAGTTGTCCCAAACATTTAAGTAAACGAAATGCGAAAACCGAGAAAACCCATCCAAGTAATTATCTAAAACCGAGATGAGGGGAACCAGATAAATGTTAGACTGGAATGTGTGATGAAACAGCGCCATAAAGTCAGAAAAGCCAGCCCTAATAAATATATTTTGTTTTAATGTGGTTTAGCAGTGTTTTGTTATTTGCCTTCTAATATAAAAGGCTATAATTCGTGAAGAAACTAGGGAAGGACGCATGCGCATACAAAAAACGATGGATCTGCCCGCTAAGTGTTCAACAAGAACTCTCTTAAAACGAATCTCCCCTAAGGATCATTTTCGAAGCCACCCGACGGGCTTTTACATTTGTCAGACAAAAATGTCTAATCGTTTAAAGTTTTTGACCGATTAACTCGGTGTCACTTTTCCTATAAAAAAAATTATACTATGTGACCATAGAAGCTTATTTCTACACGATAGTCTGTATCAAATAACTGTTTTTAGTTCTACTCTTAAAGATGATGTGCGTTAGCCAGTAATAAGAATAACACTGACAGGAGACTTTGTGATTTTCATGTAGATTCTGTGATCATAGGTATGTAAACCCTCGTTGGTGTAAACGCTTGAAAATTTGCTGTCCAAATGGAAATTTTCTCCTTATTTGTAGGAGCTAAAAATCTTGAACAAGAAACTTATGACAACGGATGCTTTTATTACCTTTCGTTTTCACGAATGAACATTCTGATTGTGATACTTTAGGATCTGTATTTAAACCAACGCCAACATTTCTATCCATATAAAATTAACTATTTATGTGCCCATGAGATTTTCTAGGGTAGAATTATAACTCGCTTAAGTGTAAAAGTTATCAGTTCCACGTGGTAAATAATAAAATTCACTAACATTTTAAAAAGTCCTCTTGATAAGCATAAATAAAGACTAGACGTATTATGGTCCCAATTACTAACTAATAACTTGGATGATGTATAGTGCGATCCAGACTTACACTAGGTTTGTTGGAGTTTTACGTGTTATCGGTTTAGTAAGCGAAAGACCGAGTTTCTAGGTCTCATAAGAGCTTTTTAGTAGGTTTTATTAAGACAGAGTGGCTAAATAGTGGAACATCTACCAAAGATCCTTACTTGGACCTTTAGTGTGATAAAAGGATTACGGCTAAGTGTGGCGTTTCTGTGTGTTAACTAAACACCATATATATTCCACAAGCCAGGATTTTGACTTATCTCGGTGTGTTGCTTCCCAAATTCCTTGAGTTATCGTATAAGCAGTTTAATTAGTTTTCAGGTATCAATGCCAATGTTGGACTTGATAGTTTCGAATAAATTGAGCATCTGGTAGAAATTTAATTATAAATATGCTTTCTGTCATATCCCAAAAGAAACGATGTCTTGCTTGTAATTTTCAAACTAGAGCTAATTTTGTTTCGGTTATCTACTCTGAAGAAGTGGCTAAAATTACATCACGAAACGTCAGGAATAGTTTTCTACTCATTGGGATATCACAAAAAATGTCAGCTTAATCAATGATTGGCATTCAATATCCAGGGAAACCCAATCTGCCCCACTAATTTCGATTTATAGGTGCTGACGTATATGCTTTGTGTTTCAAAGAGGTTGATAACCAAATGCTACTTACCCAGCTTCTTATACTGTACTTCTAAGCACTTAAACAAATATTATCACTTTAACCATAAGATCTGTGCAAACTAGAATTTAAGCAGGTTATGGGGTGCCACTACTCAATGAGGAATGGGAACCTGGTTGAATGCGATTTACAAGTTGATACAGACAGTCGGAAAAAAGTTAAGAGACAGACAAAGACAATACCAGTTAATGTAATCAGTAACTGCTGGCATGAGACATATCGACAGGCCCAGACATCATGTCTAAAATCCGCGAAACGATCGTATTTTATGATCAGAGCCGCCACCTGGCATGCATTGGCTTGTGGCTTAATGTGTCCCCTCTCTCCCAATCCCGATAACGTTACTCTACACAGCAGTACGGAGACTGTTAAGTTTTTGATTGAGATCATAGACTGATCGATGTTAGGCCACCGTTGGCAACCTGGGACTGCCGGACAGCAGTTTCGTCTCAGTGTGAGACTCTGAAGTGCGCATCCGTGACTCTGTTCTCTGACTTCATCCGTCTTTTTTCTGAACAGCAGCTACCTTTGCCCGCATACTACAACGAACAACATTGCCTGTCTTCGTCTTATTAATTTCCGCTTCAAGTGTATTCACAGTGGGTGAAGCAACTTGACTTGATGAACATCCGTGTCAAGTCTATAAATGACTTAATTTTGTACTGGCTTGTAGATCACGTTATCAACGGTAGCCGGGGATGCACAGCACACGATCCTAATGCATTGGTCGATGTAATATTAATTATAATGTAATATCGATTAGCGCCTTTTACCCAATACTTCAGGTGGGAACTTATCACTATTTATTTAGCTCTAATGTAGGTGATGAGTAAAATAAGTGGAACAGTCAACGTCCCTAACTACTTTCATTCCTATTAATAATCAAACTAAATAATGCCGCCTTGCAAAAGGTGAGGCGACATTCTGTATATGTGAAGTGAGGGAGTGATCTTGGGCAGTAGTGCGTTCAAGGTGATGGTAACTGTAATCAAGGTACTCTATCTCCATAGAAAGTATACGTAAAAGAGGAACCCCAAGGCAAAACGAAAGTGGTTACATGTAGGAATATATGACACCACAGTGGACAGTAGGATCAGATGAATATGAGCATCCTTCGATGTAATCAATGGAGATAGCGATTTGACGTAGGACCCTACCTAAGTACCCGGGTACAGAGCACTGTGACATGAAGTTACAACTGGATGGCTAGAAAATATATGGTTCGTACATCTTTATTGATCACACTGTTTTCTGTTCACTAGTACTTACTTTTTCTCATGAAGTCGGGCCAATATGCATCAAAAGGAATAATGTTCAACTCCCTCACGCTAATAATATTGAACCCTCATTGTTGAAAATACTTAGGATCTCTTGATTTCGAAGCAAGACAGAAACTGAAGAGTAACTGCGGGTCGTTTGGACTGATTCTACAGGTTCTTTGCTTATTAGACAAGAAATCACAGGGTTTTACATAAGGCCTGAGGTGCAACAAGGGATAATAGGGACACCGAAAACTTTGATACATGAGGCCCACTCTGAAGAAAGCGGAGACAACTTTGCGAGCTCGACGCATTAACGCTAATTAGTTGCGGGACAGAAAATACTGCTGCCGAGTAACTTTTCAAAAGCAAAAACAGCGTAGATCGCTGACAGGTGACTTAGGGTTTTCTTAAGCTGATAAATTAACCCAAAACGAACTCACCTGCTAGAGTATCCCGGGCAAACAAAGCTTAAAGTTGGCACATCATAGTCCTAATTCTTATTCCATTCACTATCATGAAGTAGCGCCGACTATGATTCTGACTACTAACTTCACCCACGGTACTAAAGGTTAGCTCAGGGAGACTTCCTCAAGCTTTTCGAGGAAAAGCGATTTTAAGTACGCGGATAACAACCTAGTAGTACACGGGAGACTTTTAGACATCTTAAGAAACCTTAAACCCCAACCGACTGAAGTTGCGTTTGTCTACGCCAAAACCAAAATATAACGTTGTCTTACAGCGTAATCCTCCACCATGCCTAAAAGTGTCACTAGCCATTTAAGTACTCATTAACTAGCGAGTCCTGTAAAAACATAAAAACCAGTTATGAAATACCTGTTATGTACGATCAGCAGTTAACAGATGTGATGGACAGACCAGAACTACAAAGCTGGACTTGAACTGGCCAAACGGCGTGGATATTTTAGCTTACTGTCACTATCGCCGACGAAATTTACTCTTCATTAATTACTAGTGGTACAAAATGTTTATCACAGCACCTAATAGTGACGATTAACGGTACTCTCTGTACATAAACAATGGTACAACCAGACACCAAATACATGTGCCACATAATAACGAGGCCGGTGGCAGTGGTCATTTATGTGTAGGGGCTGTGATACTTCCCGGCTGCCTAGACAAATGTTTCGCGAAATTACTTATTTTGAAAGATGTTACCACTACAACACTTCGGACAGAATAATAACGAGGATAACTAGTGACCTTGTATCCAGCCGAGATTGACGCCATCCACAAGCATCACTTGTCTATCAACTGTGTTGTTGCACTAAGTAGGTATCGAATTTACAGATATAGTCGCAGGTGTCTCAACCTACCAAGTTTATATATTATTCAGGTCACCAACGAACTGGGTGAGTGAGGATACTTAGTCGTAGTTGGCAACATCTCAGAAACCAGATTTAGGTAAAAGAGCCACGATAGTGTTTTGCAATTATTCATATTTCAAGCAACACATTTCTCTATTTTGCAGGAAGGTCACAAATAGTAGACAAAGAACTAAGAACACAAGTACCAGACGGATGCTACGATACTGGTGATGGTTTCTACAATCCATTGACGAGAGTAGTGACAGATTATAACGGATGTTTTCTTCGCAATGCAGGTAGGTTTGGTGATATACTATTGATGTACTAGACCATGAGGAGCATACATGGATTGTCGCCAAATGTAGGAAAGCATGGGATGAACATGTCGGTGCCACGTATGACTCTGAAACTATTAAGCGGGGAGTGAAGCCTTATTGACTACGAGATACTAAGGTCTGATTCAAATAACACTAGAAATATATTTTTTTCTCAAACATAATAAAAAAATTTTACTTAGTGTCGTGTGAAATTTTATTCAAATGGGATTCTGTTTACTTGTCTGAAGTAGTACGAACTTTTAGTGCTTGCCTTTCGTCCATAGCAGATAATATAGTGACCTAGGAAAGAACTTTATTACCCACGAAGCAACTTACAATCATATTCTCTGTCTCCCCTCTTGAATTCCATTTTTCCTTTAATTCCTTTCCAACTTCATTGTCAGGAACGGGAATATCTTCGATGACGCATAAATCGTCGCCCATTAGTGACAAGAACCCGTCTTTGATATCCACCAGTTGATAATCCTCACTTTTTATCACAGGTACATCCATAGTGTGTGATGATGTGCGATTCTCTTCATATTTCTTACCAGTGAATATATCGATCCCAACTATGTGCACTTTCGCAGAGCCATGTTTCCCGGTCTTTGACGTAGACATGTCCACGATTTTGCAAGGACGATCTTTCATTACGACATATCCGCCTTTCCTTAAAGAACTACACTGTTTCGGTAAAGTTTTTGAAGCCCCAGAATCTCCAGTTGCAAATTCTTCATCATCTACTATAGACATACTACTTGTGGGGCACGCACAGCTAACACCACGACTAAGAGAATCTAGGAGACGCGCGCTTACTAGTACTTTTAGTGAATAAAAACAAACTTCAAATAGTTCAAATGGTTTTGGACGGAATAGAAGAAGCTTTCGCTGGTTGGGCTTCCGTGCCTGGTAGAAGTGGATCGCCAATACCTCCAGGCAGGAACCTGTGTATAAAAGAGGAAAAAGAAAAAAATAGTGAATCATAGTGAGATACTATCTTTAGTCTTTAAGAATATGTCAAGTTGACTCTTAAAGGACTACTGGTAAGTCGCTTGCATTGATTCAGCTGGCAGCGAATTCCAGTAATTGACGACTCTTAAGGCGTAAAAGTTATGTCTATAATCCGTTCTGCCGTGTTGTGTCTCCAGTTTCTGGGTGTTACCCCTTACGTTTGTGTTGAAACTAAACTTAAGTAGGTGTTTAAAGAGATGTCCAGAAGTATTTAGAATGTCGTAAGCCATTCAAAGGTCACCACTAGGACGCCTATACTTTAATGGGTAGAGCTTCAGTGATTGGAGGCGCTCTTCACAAGGCATGAATTTGAGTCCTAGAACTGATTTCGTGACTCGCCATTGGATACGTCCCAGAGTGTCCTTATCCTTTTGGAGTAAGGGAGGAAATACTATGTTTCCGTATTTTAAATGGGAACGAATGAAACTGTTGAAGAGTATGTGGAAAGTTCTTCCGTCAAACCGGCCAAAAATGAACTTCAATGTTATTAGTGCAAGGTTTGATCGAAAGGCGTTTTTGTCACAGTTAGCGTGGAGCTTCAAATCATAGGGTGCCAACACTTCAAGATCTTTTTCAACTCGGGATACTTTTAAAGGGGAGTTACCTAATTTGTAGCTTTAGTCTGAAACATGTCTCAGACTACTTTACATTTTGAATTGTTAAAGGTATGTCCGTTGTCATCTGCCCGACTTTGAAGCCGAGTCAAATCATCCTAAAGTACCAGTTGGGGGACACCAATAGGACATTCCATGGCGTGAGAAAAAGCGGAGTTAACCCTGACCTTAAAATGTCGATTTTTGAGATACGAAGTGAGCCAGTCAATTAGAGGTGATTTGATACCCAATCGATTTAGCTTAATGATAAGTATATATGGTTGACCCTATCAAAAGCTTTTGAGAAATCAAGGTAAATGATATCGCCCTTGCCCTTGCGATCAAGGATAACTGTCCATCTGTCCATCGCAGTCAGCAGGTTGATTATACAATGATAACCCTTCCTGAAACCATGCTGTTGGGGTGAAAAGAAGTTTAAGGATAATAAATGGTCGAGTATACCGTCGCATATCAGGGACTCCATACTTCTTGAAGGTATAGAGAGAAGGACCACCAGTCGATAGCTTGAAGGTTCTCTGCGTCGACCTCCTTTGAAAATTGGTGTGATGTGAGACAGCTTCTAAATCTCTGGTAATTTGCTACGGCTCAGTCAGAGCGAGAACAGCACGCCAAGCGGTGTTGCCAAGATTGAAGCAGCTTGCTTCAGTATAGCAGAATGGACCATATGGGGACCAGGAGGACAGTTATAAATTTGGTGCTGCACACCAAGTCAGCGCGTCGGTTCACCTGTGAAAAACGAGCGGAATTACAAATGAAGCTTTCATCATTGGTGTGGGTCGATTGAAATGTCTAAGAGTACAGTTCAGTCAGAAGTTTATAGGCATCACCGTCGTTACTAGTTTGGCCATTAGGGCCTAGCAGTTGAGAAACTTCAACTTTGACCTGTTGAAGAGAGGCTGCATAACGGAATAAGCTTTTCATATTGAAGTCAATTGTATCAGTAAGCTTGATCTGATACAGAAGCCTGTCTTCTCTTATTGCCTTTGTGCATATGCTCCTTATTTGTTTGTATTGCCCGTGTGCGCCGTTGTTACCAGTTCGTTCGTATTCCGTCCAGCAGTGCCTTTTGCGACCTAGCAAACGAAGAGTGCAGTTCTTGATGATTGTAGGTTACTTGTAGATTTCAGGGACCGTAAGTGGGAAAGACTGCTTTGTGCAGTAAGAAATCCCAATGAGCATCCACGTCAAGTTGAGGGTGAACTTCCCAATCCACCTGTTGCAGAAAGTCCTGTAAAGCTGAAACATCCAACCGTTTGAAATTCCAGCGCCTGTTTTTGGTAGGATGTTTTAGCTCAGTTTTGCTGATGAAACTAAAAGCTATGTCGGCGTGGTCGTTTCTCATTGGGGAAGTGTTAGCGGGACATAGACTAGATTAAAGCATGCTCAATGCATGATTGCTTTGGTGCACGCTGATTGGCTAATTCTTATCCAATCAGCACTGGTCGATAGTTGGAGAAGACTAGAATCTTCTTATGTAAAAACTATAAATATACTGACGTTTTCCATATTGTGCTTCCTACTGGCTTCTGACTTGCTATTTGGAATATAATCTCTTTCCTGTTCAACCGTGTTTTGATTTGGGGACTTGTCGAGTGAATCGGTGTCCAAGAATACTAAGCAATAGGAATAGCTGGGTCATAACCGTAAGAAGAACAGGATTATAACAGGAAGCCAGGATGGAAAAGTTTTCAGTTAGGAATCCTTCGTTTGTAAATAAACGATCTAACCGTGACGGCATCTGACTGTTTCTCAAAAGAGTTGATGACTTCACATTTTCGAATAATTCTAGATCTTCAATGAGGCTGAAGAACCGAACTTCAGTAGAGTTTTCACCTCTAATATACGTATGTTCCGCGAAAATGACTTTAGGATGATTGAAGTCCCCTAGAGTCAGGATATGAAAGAATCTGAGACGAGTAGAGCCGGATAACTCTTCCAGCATGTGATTGTCTTACTCGTTGTCAGCAGTGGGCTTCCTGCAGATGACCAACTAGACACCTTGAGGTGGTAGATAATCTTATTGAGCACCATACACATTCATCAAGATTGATAAACTCTTGGTTGTTCGCCTGATGTAACTCCAGACAAGATCGCAAGCATAAGACTACCCCGCCCCCATCCCTGTTTTTCTCCAACTGCGAAACAAGGACATCCCGGGTTTCGCAGGCTTCTGGTCCGTAAAGTGAGAAGATATCCAAGTTTTAGATATTCCTCTTAAATGAGCAATATTAGCATTACTCATGTAGTTCATCCATTTTATTTGGTAAACTCGCTGTGTCCATATATAAGCAGTTTATGCTTTCGATTTAGAATGTCTGGGCTTCCCCGCCCTACTTAGGTGTATCAGTTTTATGTGAATGAACAGGTAACCTAACTATACAAGGTTTTCCGAGTTAGTAGCTTCTGTCCTTTGCACGTTTTTTATGATCAGGACAGCCCACAAGTGGAATGGTCAGCTCCAACTTGTATTTGTGCTTGATCCTGGCGTCTTGTGGCCTATCCGGATGCATTTGGATCCCGGTTGGTAACCGGCGTCTGTTGGCACGAAATGCTTACAGAGTTGGGGCCGCCATACGGGAGCATGGGAAGGTTATCTACATCAGCCGGGGTCTATAATCCCTGTCCTTCTTTGCTAGTCTCACCACTGGTTGAGTCAATACGTTCCTGAGCTCCAAGGATTGTTTGATGAATTTCCATTCCCTAACATCAAAGATTATGTGACGAAGGTCCGTGTTTTTTGGTATATCTTGCATGATGATATTTCCTCCGTGGAAAAACTTCTCGCGAGATTTTTTAAGGATGTTCCAGACGAGACCACGCTCAGAATATACGATGAGCCCGCTTGTGATTTGGTACGAATGAGTAACCTAGCCATCAGCTAGGTTATGTTCAGTATAACTAATTACATCAGCACCAACACGAAGACTCACAGAACTATTTAGCTTAATGACTCATTTACTGCTACATGCTAAAGTGGGATCTTGTCATATAGCACTTGCTGTAAGATCCACAAATCGGACTTCTTCAGTGTTTGTCCCACTGAAACAATTCCAGGCAGGCACTCACGAATTCGATAATTCAGAAGACTATAATAGGTCACAGTTTCTTGAGAATTATTTACAAAACATTCAAAATAGTTTAGGAGATACCCAGGGGAAGTATTGGATGGTATTTTGCCGACTGGCGCAGACATTTGATAAAAACCTATTTTTACACTTGGAAGAAGCATCCCTAGCAGTCATGAAACAATATCCTGCTGAAAGAAGAAGGAACAACCAGTTCACTTTGCCCCAGTTATGAGCAATTGGGTGAATAATAACAAACGTAACGAACAGGAAATGAGGTTCAAAATCAATCTCACGAAATTGTGGCATCAGTTCACAAAATATAAATTGAAGTATGGTAGTACAATATGGCGTGATACATAAAAACTATATCAAGTAAAACAAAGACGAAATGACCATTAAAAGACTCGGGGACATCGGGAAAATATTTAAGATACAGAATTTTAAAACAATGTAACAATGAAAACCGGAATCGATTTATAAAATACGAATAGCAATAAGAGAAATAGTGCCTATTATGGGAATGCAAAAAACACGTCACAAGAAAAACAGACGTGTAGGGGTTTTCCCTATGTTTGCACATGAGCATACAAAAATGGATCTTACATGTGCACATTATCAAAGAAAATGATTGCTAACCAGGATGTCAAGGATCCGTTCACAATAATCCTGTACCTTATGTTCAACGGCAGTAGAAAAGCTGTCCTCAAACCGATAGAAAACGTGACGTTCATAACTTGGCACCTGTAAATAACTCCGGCTTAGTATGGAGACCAAGGTAGTTATACTTGTTGAAGGGAAGAAGAAACACGTAACTTTCACTTGATGCAGTGTTGTAACATTTTGTTAGCTAGAAAATTAGTACTTCATAATTAGGAGCACGTACCAGTTAATACTTTTCTCTGTCAATATGCATGGATGCCTGCACATAACAAATATTCTGCAGTTACACTCCTGTTTGTAGGCACCAACCTCATCCAGCTTTCCTTGATCACCGATAAAAAGCAAATCAATGTGCATATGCGAAATTCTTGAAATTCCCCTGATACTTTCTTTATAGCGAATGGTGTAAGCTGACAGAGTATGAGAACTACGTTTTTTGGCGCTTTGTACGTGTAGCACCTACCAGCCATAATCTTTTCCTTCTTA